TTGTTGTTGTTGTTTTTCTTGATCAGGAGTATCCGTTCCACCTGTACGTCGTGGTCTTGCAGGTCTAGGCGTTTCCTTAGCCTTATTTCTTGTACGCATTCTCCCTGGGCTATCTGGTGATTCCGCAGGCACAGGGCGGAACAGATACGGAGGTGCAGGCGGTAATTCTCCAGTCTTTTTCAAATGTGTCCTGCATTCCGTACAGAGCAATAACCTATCCTTACCAGCTATTTGATATTCCTTTGAATTAGTTGAGAAACAATGTTGACAAGAATGTATCGCTCCGTTAGTGTTTGTATCTCTAGAATCACTATCCTCTTCCGAATTATCGTCCTCTGTCACAGAACTAATTTCCCCACCAGGATTATTGCTCGCAGGTGTTCCAACAGGTACAGTTTCCGGTTCTGAAACAGGTTCTTTCTGATTGACACTAGCTGGTGGAGTATCTTTGGGCGGAGTTGGAACTTCTTCTTTGGGAGTACCAGCGCGCGAATTACGCGTATTACGAATTCTCCTAAGTGAACCTTGTCGTCTTCTTCGATGAGGTCGATTATTATTCGCTCCTGGTGTTTTCTTCCATAAATAGTAGAATTCAACCAATTCCGGCTAAAAATAAAGAAAAAGAGATTTTTCTATTTATTCTTCTAATTCTTTTTTACTTTCACATAGATTTGTTACCGTGTCTTTATGAGGTAAGAGATCTTTTCTGATCCTTGAGAAATTTTTTCCAAATTGTCGAAGTCCTTTAACGAAACGTTTCTACGAAATAGATTAATAATCTATTAATTGTAAGTCTGACCTTTCTTTTTCCAGTTATAAAATGACACCATATATTTATGATAATGAAGCTCAATCAATCTTCCGCTTTAATTGCGTCTACTTACAGTTTCCTCCTCGGACCATTTTTTATCGATGCCTTTAGGTACGGGACATTTAACCAAAGCTTGCAATGCTCTTCCTGGATCATAGCCAGAATCGTGCAAGATATCCAGAGCATTGATAGTCGTGTCGTCACGTGAAGCAGCCACACAACCGTCATCCGGGGATCCTCCATCACACATACCAGCAAATGCAGCCATAGATCGAGCTGCCCTTAAGTACATCAGAAGATCCCCGTCTAATGCCATAGCTGGAATCCATCTTAGCTCTTCTCGTTCTTTAGAAAACTCTGGATCAGGAAGCAGCTCTCCAGGAGGTATACCCGGCCGATACTCAGGCAAACGAGCCTGACAAGAAACCAATTCCTGTACCCAAAATTCGGGATTGTGCGTGGTTAGCACCAATGCCAAAGCGAGTTAGTTGTACGCACCTATACTCCGGCTTGCTTTTCGAAACTACACGAGCCAGTATAATTTTTTTCCATTTTGTTCCGTTTGTTACAATACTAGTACCAGAAGTAGCATGAGTACTTTTATATTTATGTATAAATATGATCATAAATATATGTATATATATATAATATAAACATGAAAATATAAAATAAGAAAAGTTCAAAATAATGTATGATTATTATACATATATTAAAACTTATAATAATTTGATAACAATTAATTATATTCATATGTATACAAATGAAAGCTAGAAGTTAATCTGCACACGAACAAAAAGCACATTTACGAAATTTTTTTAATAAATAAAAAAATAAACATAAATAAAAAAAATGAATGAAAAACAGCAAATGAATGAAAAACAATTATTTCACAAACGAATATAATATGACGTTCACAAAAAAAGATGAGAACAAAATATAATAAAATATAGATTATTTTAAATATTCTAAATACTTCTCCACAAATTTCCTAACATTAATATTTCATAGATGGTTCAAGTAACCAATGGGTTATTACATAATAGTAAAATATTTTTAATTTCACCGTGACTGAAAACCACTGTAAATATATAAAACTAATATCTTACACTTACATAATAATATCCTATAAGTTATTGTTAGAATGCTTCATCATAATAACTTTCATCATATTTAGGGTCTTCCAGCAACAGTAGCAATCAGAGGGATAGTATTTGTGATGTGATCTGAGTGTTGTGGTTGTACTGTTAAGCAAGTAAAAAATTATCATTATTGTGACTTAAAGAATAACTATCATTGTTATTTGAACCATCGGCATACAACAAACCTGTATGTGGAATAGGTAGGTATTTGTGCCATTTACTGTTCAATATTAATTTTTTTTAAATATATATAAATACAAAATAAATTAAATATAAGTTTCTAAAAATTTTTTACTATAAGTATGGATTTCAAGCATTAAGAAAATATTAATATTTCAATTATTATAAATTTTTGAACTAGTACACACACCATGCACTTTTTTAACAATTCTTATTAAAAAGTAAAAAAAATTGAAAATAATATAATTAACTGAAAATAATAATATATTGAATAACATTGCAAATTAATATCTTAATAAAAATTAATTCAATATATTTTTTATTTTTTTCATAAATTAATTTGATTATTCATAATATATATATATATATATTGATAATTAATATAGATTTTATAATTTATTTTAAAAATAAAATTTCAATATATTAAACAAATATTTCTCAGTAAATAATTAAGCTTAAAAATTAATTGTTTAACTTATTTAATTCACATATAATACATAGTACAAATACATAGATATTATTACTAATAATACAGTTCCGAACATCTTATATAGTTTTATACTCAGTTATTTAAAATTATAATTACTTTAACAAATTTGAAATAATACACATACCTAACAAATAACCTAAATACTGTCCTAATTTTAGTTACATACAAGGGAAAAATGAAATACATAAATGAGGAGCAATTACCATTGAATATATAGGTATTGTGAAAAAAATGATGTCACAATTACCTGGTGCTTCAATGATGAACTCTGCCTTATCTATACATTCAAAATACATATTTCAGGAGAACAAGCCTTGAGTTAGGTACATTGTGCAATATAGCTAAGTAGCAAAAAAGGTTTTCAAGGTATATGGCAAACCTGGTGCGAAGGGCCAACCCGAATCTCGCCCTGGGTGCCGGCAGACATCTCCTCCTCCTCCGAAGCTCCACCGTCTTTCTCCAGTGTTTCAAGTGGCTTCTATCTTGGATTTTCAGTAAATTCCTATCATCCACCCCCTGAACTATATATATATTCATTCTATCAGTATATTTATAATAACTGTTTAAGAAAAAATACTGCTAACATGCTTCTTTTTTTATTAATGACCCTTTTTTTTTACTATGATGTCAGTTATTATGACATTATATTTTATTTATTTTCTAATATATAATCTTTCCTATTCAAATAATATTTAATTTCTATAAATAATACCTTTAATATTAAAATAAATTTTTATAATAATATACAATCACTTTCTTTTGAAGCACCTTGTTTTATATACCTTCAGCTTTACATATCCCTACATGGCTTTATTTTTATAACTAAAATTAAAATATTTCTAAATTGTGAACTATAGAATATAAATATGGAAAGTATCCTATAAAAGGAATAAAACATTAAATATTTATTATATTTATTATAATAAATATAACTTGTGTCATCAATACCTCAATAACTTAATTTCACAATATAAATAAAATTAATGAAAATATATATGAACAAAATCCTGAAAAAATCAATTGTTTTATTTATATAATTACTAAAAAAAAATTATATGTATGAATTCTTACAATTTCATAATTTATAAAGGAAACTAAATCCTCTTTTAACAACCCATCTTAACAATTTAGCAATTACATATATCTACTTTCTTCAAGTGGTCTTGAGTCACGGTGAAAGCGGTAGTCAATATTTAAATAAGTTTTATGGATTAAAACGATTTATCATTATCCTAACGCAATTAAAGCGTATCAAAGAGCGATGGACATCATAAAATTTTTCATTGACTCATCGATGTGCAATGTGAAGATACAGAAAAAAAATAGCTATTTACACAATTTCGTCATGTATGCAGAAAATATGAAAAGAAAGATATACCTATGAGATTGTGAACGATAAGTTAATTATTGAATCGTTTTGATGGATCGCAAATTATTTACTAGGATTTTTCGTCACATCGCACCTTGTCTTGGCGGAATTCTGGGGAGTCGTTAAAATAAAGTGGAAAGCCATAAAATTTCAAGGCAAACTCACCCGTGATAAATGTTTCAACGTTGTGCTCGCATTGTTCCTCCAAACGCGACTTGTTTTCACACGTACGCGTTATATACAAGCTCAATTATATTAATAGACAACTTATAGAAATTAAACAATTCACTACGAATTAATCATTGATTACTACAGAATATCTTACACAAATCAGTAGCCACAACACCCAAACGCAGCCATCTTGTACTGCGTTTTGTTTCGTTTTTCTTCTGTAGGGGTGCGTTCCGATTCCGTGCATTCCTCTACTTCTTTTTCATGATTCTTTCTGGTGGCAATTTGAAAATTTAAAAAGCCAATAATAAATTATATTTTATTTTAAAAGTTTCTCAATAGAAAATTATTATTAAAAAAATAGAAAGATTTACGAATATTCAATTCATATAATATTGATATTTTAATTTAAATATATGATTCAAAATCTTTCGAAGATTTTTCGATATAAATTTTAAAATTATAGAAATTTAAGATTATAAAAATAAAAAATCAACAAATATTATCTTATATTATCTTATACATTTTTGTAATTGTTTTATATATTTTTTAAATATATTTTTTTATTTTTTTTTATATAATTTTACTAATAAAAATAAAATATCTTTTTTTGTATTTTTTATATTTTATAAAACAAGATATTATATATATTTATATAAATTTTGATATATCAAAATTATTTTTTTATATGAGTTTAATTTTATGATATTTTTTTATTATTTATATGATAGAAGAAATATAAAAAATGAAATATTTATTAAATATATATATATTGTATATATATATATATATATATACAAATCACTCTGTCATTAATAATCGGCATTTAGTATAAATTATCCCTTCTCTCTTTATGGCATCTATATGTATGTCATTGTGTCGTGTTTTTCCACATTTTGCGCAATTAGCTTATAAAATTCCAATTCTTTTACATTTGAAAGCAAACTATACTGTAGACATGACAAAAAAGACAGCAATTTTATTGATTGCTGATGGTTCGGAAGAAATGGAAGCTGTAATAACGACGGATGTTTTACGACGAGCTGGAGTAATATTTTTATTACATATAACCTTAAATTATATATTTATACTTTATATATAAATATTAAATATACAAATATTTTATTAAATATGGATAAAAATTGAAAAATTATATCATAAAAAATCTTTTTTTTTTCTTAAATATTAATAAATGAAATAATTTAATTTATTATGATTATTCTATGATGTAAATTTTATGCAATCTATTTATTTATTTATTTTTAGGTTGATGTTACTGTAGCTGGCCTTACTGAAAATCCATATGTTAAATGCAGTCGTAATGTAAAAATACATATTGATGCAAAGCTTCAAGATGTAATTAATAAAAAATATGATGTTGTAATATTACCTGGTGGTTTAGATGGTTCAAAAGCTTTTGCATCTGTAAGTAAAATTAATGTTTCTTTTTTTAGAAAACATATATTAATTAGCTTTTATGTTTTGAATAGTCTGCAGAAGTGGGAAAATTATTACAACAACAACAACAAGAAAACAGATTTATTGCTGCTATTTGTGCTGCACCTACTGCATTAAAGGCTCATGGTATTGCAAAAGGAAAGCAGATTACATCTTATCCTGCAATGAAGGATCAATTAGTGGATTATTACAAATATTTGGAAAATAAAGTTGTTATTGATGGTATGTTTTTATATATTTAATTTTATTTGTCAAAAATAAAAATAATTTATTTTTTGTTTATTATATTTTATTATATAAATATTTTATTATATATTTTTTATTATATATTTTTTAGATAATTTAATTACTAGTAGAGGTCCTGCAACAGCATTTGCTTTTGGATTAGCAATTGCTGAAAAATTAATTGATAAACAAACAGCAGATAATGTAGCACAAGCAATGCTATATGTACAATAAATGAAATGAGTTCTTAAATAAATGAGTCCTTAATTAAGCATGTTATGTATGATTTATGTTATATATTTAAATTTAATAAATTAATATTATGCAATTAATATTATTTAATTATGATTTGATTTTTACCATTTATCAAATTTTTTCTTAAACATAATATAACAAATATAAATTCAAAATATCTGCTTATGTTATGTAATTTACCATTTTGATCAAATTCCTTAAAGTCTACCATCTTTAACTATTATATAGTCAATGATTGTAATATTTGACATTTTACAAATATCGATCCAAAATATATTATTTATCGCATAATTTAATTCGTCATATTAACTAAAAAAAACAAATGTTAAATATAATATTAATATAAAATAAAATATATTAAAATAAAAACTTAATGTTTAAAAAATGTTTGAAAGTGATGATTGGGATCTCGATCAGGTAAATTGAAAATATTTTTCGCAGAAAATTTGTATTAAATATAATAATCATTTATTTTATGAAATAATTAATTAAAATATTATATTTAATAAAATATATATTATAATATGTAAACATTTTTATAAAAATAATTATTTAACACATTTTTAGGATTTCTTGAATGATATAGATGATAAAATAAATAAGTATTGTTCCCAAAAAGATAATCAAGAAAGTGAACCTAAAAGACGCAAAATAGATATTAATAATGATTCAATTTCATCATCTATTTCTAATATAGATTGTTTGGAACAAAATATTATTAACAAAACTACATTGAAATATAATGAAAATAAAGAATCAAGAAAAAATTTAATTCTTGGGATATTTAATAAAAATGTATCACAAAAAAATATATCAAAAGATATGTTAAATGATCCAAAAAGATCATGTGATAACATTTCATCAAACATTCATATCAATGAAGTACATACCTGTGAAAATAATCAATTACCTAGAAAAAATTTAGTACTTGGAATACTTAAAAATAAAAATATACAGGATAAAATTATAGAAGATAATACCAAAAATTTAAAGTTACAAACAAAAATTAAAGATAATAGTAGTAATATTAATGAGAAAATAAAAAGTACATCATTAAATAAAAAAATAAATTATCAAATATCTAAAAGTATATTTGAAAATACCTTAAATAATGATGATTTCAAACTATGCATGTTTGAACATTCAAGAAAACAATTATCTTGTAATACATTACAGAAACAGTTTACAAATAATATTCAATCCAATAATTCTATAAAAAATTTGCTTGCATGTAAAACTCCACAAAATAAAAAAATGACATTAATTAGAAAATTTCCAGGACCAGCTGGTTTATTACCAGATGATTTAGATTCTAATATACTTTGTGTTTCATATTTAAATAGCTTAGAAGAAAATGAAATGTCAAATAAAGAGACTAATACAAATAATTTATCTAAATATTGTTCTCAAAATACAAAAAATCTATTCACAGAAGGTGCTTGGCAATTAATGTTAGATGATTTGCCACAAGATTTTTTGAAAGATCACAATATTGCCACTGTTAAAAAAATAGCAAATATGAATGGCTTCAATAATACAAAAGTTAAATTTTTAGCAGGAATAATTGAACATATAGATTATAGTCATGATAATCCTCCTATTATTTTAAAAGATTTTACAGACAATATTCGAGGAATCCTTCACAGAGATATACCACTTAAATATCCTGGTTTATTAGAATCTAATGTTGTTGTATTATTACATGATGTAGGTCTTTTAAAAATTTCTGGAACTTTTGTTTCTAATAAATATCAAATTTTAATTTCACCCTCAAGTTTATTGGCAATTTATACTAGTAAAGGTATAATAGAACGTACACAATATATGAAAACAATTTTTGAAAATATTTTAGATGGAAAGACAAAGATAATAGAGAAAGAAAAAGTGGATTGTATTTCTACAATAGAAATAGAACCATTAAAAAATAGTATTCATTTAATTTCAAAAAAAAATACAGAGCTAATAAATTTCAAAGAGAACATAGAAAATAATAATAAAACAGATTCCAATTTTTCTAATTTAAATTTAAATGAAACAAATGAAGATATAAATAAATCAATGAATTTTGATAGTGATATATTTTTTTCAATTCCTTCTAATAATATAGATTCACAAAATCAAAAGAATTTTAATAGTTCCAAGTTTAAAAATGTAAAACATATGAAAAAAGAAACTAAACAACAAAAGTCTAAACAATCATTTACAAAAGAAGAGGAAAATTTACAAAATGATGATAAACAAAGAGCTGAATATTTATTAAAAAACTTAAAAAAATGTTCTCCAGATATAAATGAAAAAAAAAAAGGTCTCTCTCATAATTCCAAGATTTTACAAATGAATGCTGAGCATTTATCGTCAAAAAATATTTATTCTAAAGAAATTGAGCCTAAAATATTAAATAATATATCTTTTGAAAAAATAAACGTCGATAAATGTTTTGAAAAAACTATTTCTCCATCTTGTCATAAAAAAGTGAATAGTAAACAAGAAAAGAATGTAACTTCTATACGAACTAAATTATTACAGTTCCAAAATATAGATATATTATCTCCAGAAAATTCTGCATTTACAATTCCATTAGATATAAAAGAAAAATTTAAAAATCTTTCACAAAAAAAATCAGAAACTTCAAATTCTATGCATAAATTTGACAATAACGAAAATGATTCTGATGATGAAATGTTATCTCAATTAGATATGAATATCATTTTCAGCAATTATAGTAATAAAAATTAGATACTTTTGATATGATATTATTAAAAAATTCAATTATCCGCTGAAAATTACGGATAATAATAGATTATATCTTTATATCGAAAAATTTGGAAAAGATCTCTATTTATATACATTTATATTATGTTAAATATTATTTCAAAAATACCAACATATATGTAAATATTTATTATATATTTTTGTACAGAATATAAATAAAAAAGTAAATATATTTTTTAATCAATATATTATAATTTTGAATCAATATATTGAAATGTAACAAATTTCTGTAATATTTTAATGATATTATTTATTAATATTTCTAAAAATATTTGATCTTTCCCGAATTTATTTAGATGAATTATTATTGCGCAATAAAAAATTGAACAAGATACTTAATTCATCAAATATGAAATATTAAATATTCGAGATAACTATTATTTTAAGATTATTCACGATATATTTATTTTCAAATAAACATCAAGAAATTGTTCATTTCTCTTTTTTGCTATTAAATACGATTAAAATTTTTGATTATTTATATTTAAACGGTAATCATTAATTTTAATTTAAAAAATAGTTTAGAATACCAATTTAAAATAGATCAAAGATGTATTTTATGATATATATTAAATAATTAAATATTTTTTTAATAAATTTATTTAATTTTTTTTTCTTAAAACAAGAAATTGTAAAAATTATCTAAAAAATAGTAAACGAAATTTGAAAATAATTTATCATATTATATATATTATTACTATACAATAATATTTATTATTACTATTGAATCAAGGGTACTTGAAGATATATACCTATATCAGCAATGATCTCAATTTTGCTGACATTAGCCTGAATATCAGCCCTCGCCAATCATAAGCGTAGAATCGATCTAGAATCTTTATAAATGAGATCTTTACAATATAATCCATGTATACGCTAATGGAGATCTATTGGATCAACCTTGATATGCCCTGATTATCCGATGGTATATCTAGGCGTATGATCGTGTGATTATGAATTATGTAATTTTGTCACATTAGTTGCATGAGATAGATATCTGCATTAAAATAAAATTATACATTACATGCTGAAAATATGTAAATGAAAATAATTTGAGATCATTCACTAGTCAAATCAAAAAATAATGCAGAAGTTTAATCTCATGATAAGAAAAACCATCATGGCAAATATGGAAAAAAATAATTTCAGAATTAATATTATCTATTGTATTTTGAATACTAATGAACAAATTTTTTTTCTTTCTTTTCTCACAAAATTTTCAATTATCAAAAATATTCAAAAAATTTTATTCTAATTTTTATTTTGTGTTAATAAAATAAAAATTCTTATTTATCATTAATTATAATTAATAGATATTATGTCGCAAATTTAATATTAATAATTTAAATTTATGAGTAATATTTTTCTATAAATATATTTTATTATAATTCATATATATCTTATTTTCTTTCAATCAATAGTCTTTATAATAAAATTTTAATTTCTTTTATGTTGTAAAAAATTCCATCCAATTATGTATACGTAAATAAGCATATGCACAACCACAAAAATTTGAAATTATAATCGAATTTATAATCTTGTTTTATAATTATCGAGCAATTTATCGTAATTTTCCAGAAATATAATTATAATATTTAAAAATATTTTCTTTTTTGTCGTAATATACGAATAATATTTATTTTAATAGAGCTTCGTTTAAAAAAAATATGCAAATGCTACATTATTAATTCAAGTTTATTCATACTGTTGTGTTTCCTTCAAATATAAATTACACTATATATAACTTAAAGAATTTTCGATAAGTTTGAATGATTAAAGTGAATATGAAATAATAATTTTGTAAAAGTATGCAATAACAATAAAATTGATACTTGTATCAAAAAAATATCTATTTTTATTTAGAAAAAACTAAAAATCGAAACATTATTATAATTGATTATTAATCAATTGATTATATAAGTATTTTTAATTGATTATTGCATTTTAAGTTTTTTTGAAATATTTTTCGAAATATTTTTTCCATTTCGTTTTTCCGAATAATAAATAAATAAATTTTTTTATTAGTTTAAATAATCAAAGTTTATCATTAATATCTATAATAAATTATATCTATTATATTCATTAACAAGAATAAATTAACTATATTGTAAACAATTGTTTATTGTTCTTTTTCTCGCAATTTTTACAAATTTATTATTAATTTAAATCTCATGATTAATATTTTTTGAAATTGACAACTGATAAGATATTCTGATATAACAGAAGGACATGTTAGACTGTGTGTCTCGAGATAAATGATGATCACGTTGAGAATTCTTTACTGATAGCCGCAATATATAACAATGTTATCGGAC